CCAGATTTCTTGGCACAACTTGGTGAGCACGTCCAGGGCAGCATCTGTTAGCTGAAATATGTCAATTGGTATACCATCTATTCCTGGGGCCTGATTTTTTGCTATTTCCTTCAAAGCAGCTTGAACTTCTTCATCACTGTAGGCTCTTGCTCATATGTTTTTTCATGAAGTTCTTCTGTATCTGCCAATTCTTTCGATACAGTGACTCAGTATATTCTTTTCATCTTCTTTTAATGCTTCCTGAATCATTAAGTCTGCCTAAAGCATCCTTGTTTATAGCAACTTGAGGTTTAAATTTGTTCTTCAGTTCCTTGAGCTTAAGAAATGCTGAGCGAGTTCTGCCCTTTTGATTTTCTGACTCCAACTCCTTACACATTTCATTGTAATATTGTACTTTGTCGTCCCATGCTGCCTTTTGAAATCTTCTATTCAACTCTTTAGTATCTTGAATTCTTCCTTGTGCTTTGGCTTCTCTGCACTGCAGTGCAATTTTTAGAGTCTCTTCTGACATCCATTTTGGTCTTCTGTCTTTGCAATGGCCGTTTCACTCTTCCTGGATGATACCCTTGATATCCTCCCACAACTTGTCTGGTCTTCGCTCATTAGTGTTCAGGCCTCAAAACTGTTCCTGAGCTGGTTCTGAAATTCAGGTGGGATAGACTCAAAGTCATATTTTGGTTCCCATGAACTTGGTTAATTTTCCTCAGCTTCAGTTTGAACTTGCATATGAGTAGTTGGTGGTCTGTTCCTCAATCAGCTCCTGGCCTAGTTTTCACAGCTGATATTGAGCTTCTCCAGCAGTTCTTTCTGCAGATGTAATCAATCTGATTCCTATGAATACCATCAGGTGAAATCCATGTATGTAACCTGTGTTTATGTCTCTTAAAAACATATTTGCCATGAATAAGTCATTTATTGTGCAAAATTCAATCATCCTTTCTCTGCCTCCATTTCTGTCACTGAGTCCATGTTTTCCAACTACTGAATCTTCTTCTCTATTCCCAACTTTTGCATTCTACTCACCCATTATTATCAATGCATCTTGGTTGTATGTTCGATCGATCTCCAACTGTAAAAGGTGGTAAAAATCTTCTATTTCCTCTTCCTTGGCTCTGGTCATTGGTGCGTATATCTGAATGATAGTGGTATTCACTGGACTTCCTTGTATGCGTATGGATATTGTCCTGTCACTCACAGTATTGTACTTCAATATGAATCTAGCAATGGCTTTCTGAACTATGAAAGCAACTACATTTTTCCTCACCTTTTCATCTCCAGAGTAATATATCATATGATCATCAGACTCAAAATGCCCCATGCCAGTCCATCTCATCTCCCCAATGCCTAGTATGTCAATATTGCTCTCTATATATCTGAACTCAACCCATTGTTGTTGAGTCAACTTTCCAGCAGGTTTTTGGAGCTATACATTGCATGGGAGGAGATTAGTAGTCTTTCTTAAATAGAGATGTTAGTGAATTGAACTTCCATAGAGGTACCACCATTGATTAGCAGTGTAACTCTCTACATCTGCGCAACCAAAGAGAGAGTAAAAGGAGACAAAAGATGGGACATAGGGCACAGGGCCATGAGCATCTCTCTGAAAGGGCCAGAGTGAGAATAGCACAGCCCCTCACTGCCTCAGAGCCAGAGGGAGGTAAAGATC